ATTAATTTTAATCTTCCATTTTTGGAAGTATTCCACCATAAGGTCTATATTTCCCTGTAACGTGTTGCTTACATTTATAGCATCCCGATCCGAGTAGATCAAGCATGTGTCGTCTGCGTAAAGCGCCATTGATGTGGGACTTAAGGTGGGGATGTCTGCCGTGTATACATTAAACAATGTGGGAGACAAAGGCGACCCTTGAGGTACACCTGCTACAATTGATCGGGCGGACGAAAGAGTGCTATTAATTTTAGTACGGAAGGACCTTTCTTGCAGGAAGCTACCAATGATTTTAGTCAAACCACTAGGGATGCCAAAACGGGCTAATTTGACTATTAGACCATCATGCCAGACCTTGTCAAAAGCTTTGGCTATGTCAAATATAATCATCCCGGTTGACTCCCGTTTACTTAGAGCGGTTTGTATCAGCTGCGCAGTTCTGGCTAGTTGTAGTTCCGTGGAGAGATTATCCCTAAACCCGAATTGTTCGTCAGGAAGTATATTTAGGGCATTTACCGCTGTTTTAAGCCTAGTCAGGATTACTCGCTCTGCCAATTTCCCCATAGTTGGGAGCAGACTGATAGGACGCCAGTTCTGCGGAAATGAAGGATTCTTGTCCGGTTTAGGAAACACTACGACTGAGGCCAACTTCCAGGCCTTTGGAAATTCGCCAAGCCTAAGCATGCAATTGATGATGTTAACAATGCATTGGATTGCATCTTCTGGAAGATTACGTAGGCATTTGTTACTGATATTATCATATCCGGGTGCCGATCTGGTCTTTAGACTCGAAATAATATATTTAATCTCATCTCTGGAACACTGTGAGATGCTTTCATCTGACATCAGGTTCCTAAGATTAGCAGCCTCTTCGGCAATATTTTCTTCTACCAGAGAATTATAGTCACTATCAGTATTGGGCTGAAATTGCAGCTCCAAAGAATCTGCAAAGGCCTCAGCTTTGGCTATGTCTGAGAAAGTCATGCCGGTAGCTACATAAATAGGCGGCACTACCGGTTTACGTTTAAGCCTAAAATACTTGTTCAAAGCCCAGAAGGTTTTATTACCTGTATCAATTCCTGAAAGAAATTCGCACCATTTATCATTATTATATTTGCCAATTTTTTTCCTGATTACATTAGAGAGACGATTGGCTTCTCTTCTTCTCATAGGATCTCCAGTTATTTGAGCAAATTTTCGAATGGCATTCCTTTGTCTAATGATTTGTTTGATGTAATGCGGCAGATAAAAGTAGTTACTTGGTTTTCTGGTCCTGGTGGTGGAGCTATTATCCAATGCCTCCTTAATCTTGAGAGTGAGTTTTTGGATACAGTCATCAAGATCCTCAGAAGTTACTGGCCAATTATTTATATTTGAAATATCAACCTGATTCTTAAAAGAGTCCCAGTTAGTGGTTATGTACGTGAGATTCATGTTGATTGCTGGACAATTTTCAAGAATAAAAAGAACTGGTTTGTGATCCGAGTCCAGTTCATCAAGGACCTCTACGTGCACATTCGATTCTAAGTTATTTGAAATTCCGAAGTCAATGACGTGGCCTGTGATTCTGCCATAATGTGTCGGTTCACCTGGCGCATGAATCTGCCATAAGTGTTCAGTGGCAAGCCCATCAATATCCCTGCCAGCTCTATTTGAAGTTCTGTCACCCCAGCTGCTATGATATGCATTTAAATCGCCCGCTAAGAAAGTAGGTGTCTCGTTGTTGAGGATAACCTCAAGTTCATTAGGGAGAATTTGCAAACTTGGTGGCCTGTATGCTGACACAAAATTTATATTACCAAGTTGGCTTTCAACCAGTACAGATGTTGTTTCGAGCGATTGTTGGTTGCAAATTGTAGCATGATGTTTAATGCCATATTTAATCACGATGACTGTGCCACCACCTCTTCTTGAGTTTCTGTCTGATCTGTAAACAACATAATTGGGAATTTTAAAATGGATAGCAGGTTTCAGAAATGTTTCTTGGATCAACATAATGTCAATTACAAAATCATGCAGGAATTGGATGACCTCATGTTTCTTGTTAATAATGGAATTGGCATTCCACGTCACAATTTTAAGTCGATATGATGACAAACTCATTAAGAAGCTAGGGTTGGCACTAAACTTTGTAACAAGGACTCCATCATAGTTTTCATCATTGTACTAAGTTGTATCTGCATATTATTTAAAAGCTTCTCCATGTGGGAGGTTAGCAAGTGGGAATTGGACGAAACTTGCTCAGCTGTACTTCCCTTCTTCAAAGCATCGACATAAGAAATTGAAGGCTGCACTTTAGAACTCACCGTAGAAATTGGTGTGGAGACATTCTTTTTCTTCAGCATTTGCGGAGCGCAAGGGCATCCTCTATAGTTGGCTGGGTGGCCACCACCACAGTTCGAACAAATCGGGGCAACATCGCGTGGTTTTGTACATTGTTGGTGATGGTGAGAGCCCTCACACTTAACACACTTTGGTGTGGCTCTACAGTTAGTAGCGACATGCCCGAACTGCTGACAGTTATGACATTGTGGGGGACCTTTTAGAGGGCGCTGGGCTTCAATAATCACCTTTAAATGACAAATACTGGAAACATTATATATGTTCTTCTGGTCAGATGGCAGTCTGATTTTAACTAAATTGCTGGCAGCTTGTCTAGTTTTCAAAAAATGGCATTCAAAGATACTAAATCCTTGGCCTGCAAGATCTTCTTTAATATCATCTATACTCTGACCCTCTAAACCTCTAATTATTATATTGAGGTGTTTTTCGTCAGGAAGAAAGTGGGTGTGAAATGGCTCACTAATCTCATTTAGATATCTTGTTATCTTGCGATGGTCATCTATGGTGACAGGAGTTATTTGTATGCCCAAACGGACTTTCTTTGCCTCGCTAAAATTAATGTTTCTTGTTAAAAATTGCTTGACTAAAGAGTTCCACGTGTTGGTTCGACGGAGTACAATAGGTACAACTTTGCCTACTTTCTTATTTGAGGTTACAGGTTGTAAAAGATTTCGATTCGTTATATTGTCAGAAACAATACCATTAGTATGGATGTTTTCAGGCGTAGAGATCCGCTCAGGAGTTGGGAATTCAGAATTTCCTGTTGAAATTGACTTGACTGCTGTTGAATTTGGTGCTGTTTTAGAAAGTCTTTTCTTTACAACTGATTTCACCTGTTTGGTCGATTTGACTTTTGGATTATATTTCGGGAAATCAATTTCAGTATCTTCAATCTTAAAAGGGTCAGGCTCCGCAACAGAAATTTCTATCTCCATTTCTTCCTCATTAGAGCCAGCGGAGTCATGGGGGGAGCTAACTGGAGAAGGCGGTGAAACTTTCTTCCTTTTATTATTTAATTGATTACCAGTAGCTACTGGGTTTTTTAGCTTCAATTGTTTTTCCAAATCAGAATACCGGTCCTGGAGCATTTGAAATTGCTGCCTAAGTTTGATATAGTTGGCTTGTAGAATTTCATTGAATTTTTTAAGTTCAAAGAGTTCCTTCACACTGATGTTGACCATTTCAGTTGTGATTTCACTATTAGCCTGTAGAGGGATATCAGGGGGCTCTGATATATCTACTTCATTAACCTTTTCAGACATGGTGTCACTAGTTCTTCTCTAACTGTTGTTCCAATAAAGTAAATATCCAATTGTACCTCCCACTTGGGAGGGCCCTTAAAATCTTGAGTTGTTCTTGAGTTCTTAGGAAGCTCGTAAACTTAATTGTCAAAAGTATTTAATATCTTTAATAGGAAATTTGAAACTTCTGTCAAAAAAATTTAAATTTAATTTTTAATAAAATTTTTTCCAGCACAGAAAAAATTGAAACACAACTTCAGCTCAAAAAATCTTAATGAAAAAAAAAAAAAAAAC